GGCGACCGCGTACAGGCCGTCCTCCACCTCCTTGATCTCCGCATCCTCGGTCACGCCCCCCGGGGAGGTGACCGTGGCGGCGAGATCGAACGACGTGATGCCGGGCATCTTGAAAGTGAGCTTGCACTGGCTTCCCACTTCCGTGATCGGCACTGCCTCCCTCTGCCTTTGGATCTTCTCCCTCTGCCGGTTGCTACCCTCCCCGGTCACCTTGACGGTGAACGGCGACCCTTCCACGTGGTGGTCGGCGAATTTCAGGTTGATGATGTAGTACCCCGGCTCGGTAGGCTTGTAAGAGATGTTCAACGTGCCGTCCTCGTTGTCCTTGCACTGGATCTCCGCTTTGCTAGGCCCCTCCACCGACAACGAGAGGCCGCCGAAACCGGCGTTCCTCGTGTCGATCGAGAAAAAGTTCTCCACGTGGGTCTTCCCCTCCACCAAACCGGCCCCGGACACCTTCACCTTCTTCGCGTCCCCCACCTCCCTGTCCTTCACGTCGATCTTGAACGGCGAGTTCTGGATGTGCTTGCCCAGCTTCTTTACGGCGACCGTGTGGGAGCCGGCCTCGCGGGGGGTGAACGAGACGCACATGTTCCCGTTCGGCATCATCTTGAGGAAACAGGGCTCCTCGAGCCCGCTCGGGGCCGTGATCGAAGCGTTCAACGATCTTATGTCGGAGTCCGTCACTTTGCCCGGTAACTGGACCTCGCTCGATGAACCGACCGAGATTTGATTTCTCTTACGGCCCTCGCCTGCAAAACATCGCCGAAGATAGATATTTTTATCTTTGTTCTCTCTCTTTTTTCTTTTTTTTTTTGGAAACTCGATTTCCTAGAAAAGATTAGTAAACTATTTCTTTGTTACACTATTATCCACAATAAGCTGCTTCGATATTTATTATAAGTGGATTAGGTGTGTTCTTGTTCATCGTTCACTCGTCGAGTGGAAAAAAAAAGAGAAATAGATATTTTGTGATACAATACGATTACTTTTTTCTTTTATTGGAAATTCCATTTCTGTTTTGACCTCGCCTAGAAAAGATTACTAAACTATTTCTTTGTTCCAGGTACAATATTATCATAACAGTAAGCTGATTCGATATTTATTTGTATGAGATAGGTGTTCTTGTTCACTTGTCGAGTGCAAAGAAAAGATCATGATAGATATTTTGTGATTACTTTTTTCTTTTACTGATTTCTTTTTTGATTTTCTCGCCTAGAAAAGATTACTAGATTGTTTCTTTGTTCCAAGTTGGTTCGATATTTATTTATGTGGGATAGATGTTCTTGTTCATCATTCACTTGTCGAGTGCATCAAAGGCGAGAATAAGAAACAAGAATAAACGAATAACGAACAATACTGTACTCTTTGCGATGCTTAAGCTGACTTTTGAGGTTCTATTTATTAGGAATTTAATTTCTTTTTATCCTAGAAAAGATCAAAAAGATCGTTAGATAGATATTTTGATTATTCTCTTTTTTTACATTAGAATTTGATTTGTTTTTTTAATTTCTTCGCCTAGAAAAAATTACTAAATTATTTCTTTGTTCCAAATATATTTTATTGTCCGCTTAAGTGGATATTTATTCGGGAATAGGTGTTCTCGTTCATCGCTTCGCGCTAATATTTATTATACTCTGCGATGTTTAAGCTGACTTTTGACACTCTTTTTATCAAAAATTTAATTTCTTTTTCATCCTAGAAAAGATCACGAGACAGATATTTTGTGAGTATTTTTTTTTCTTTCATTTGAAGATTTTTCAGACGATCGTGAAGAAAAATGAATCGCGTACCTGTGATTTTGGCAACGTAAGGGCTGCCCCGAATGTGTTTGTCACCGAATTTCACGCCGATTTTGTATTCTCCTGGAGCGGTTGGTAGATAGGAGACCGAGATTGTTCCATCCTTGTTGTCGTGGCAGGAGATCTCAGCTTTGCTGGGTCCTTCCACCGACAACGAAAGGCCACCGGCTCCAGCGTCTTTGGTGGAGATGTTGAAGTTTCCCGGCTCGCCGCATACGCCGTATATTAAACCTGGCCCGTACGCAGTCACGTATCCGCTCGCCAAAGAGTCCACGTGGAATTTGAACGGTGAACCTAATGATCGACGAAAAGTATATTATCGAAAAATCAAAACTACGACAATTATACGAAGAAACAAAATTTAATTTTTTAATTCAACGACACATTTTATTACACCCATTATATTCGCACAAACCTTGAACATGTTCGCCATTGAATTTCACCGAAAGCTCGTGCTGCCCTTCTTCCCTGGGATCGTATCTAATGGACACTGTGCCATCGTGATTGTCTTCGATGACTGGTTTATCCATGTTCCCGCTCGGCATTTTTACTTCGGCTAGAAGATACAGGGAAAAATATAGAAATATAGAAAAATATAAATAATTGAATATTCGTATTTTGGATATTCTCAGAATTTTAGATTCTCTAACTTAATCGTTACGATACGAATGTAAAATAAGATAAGATAAATTCCACGTTTCGCGAAATTACGAGGTGATAAGGAAACACATGATTTCCTGAGCATCGAAACCTTTTTTCGTTTGCACGTAGAAAAGGCTCTGAAATATTAACGGAGAGAAATCGAGGCCCGGCGGCGTCCCTTCGTTTTCCTGATCAATCCTGGTGTAACAGATCGGCCCACGTTCAGCGTAATCGTATTGACTGCATATAACGCTCTTCAATCCGTATCTGTAGAAGGTCGACACCTCCTGCCACGTGGTTTCGACCTCCTCTTCCTCCCAAACCATATCGGTCCACTCACTGATACGAATAACATTATACGATCGCTGACGATACGACGACAATTCGAATCGACTGTCGAATACGCAATATAATTTCGAACGGGTGAATAATTAGATCGCGGACGTTTTATTAGATCTATCCAATGTGAAAGATTGTGAATGATGTGTGTGATATGTGTAAAAAAAGAAAAGATGTGAAACGGTGTGATTTGATTAGATTTGGAAAGAAAAGAAAAAAGAAATTGAATCTCTATAAACGTCCGCGATCTTGATCATCTCTCGATTTTTAACACACGAAAGGATTAAAAATTAGCAGATAGATTGACTCGATTTTTTTCTCTTTTATCGAAATTCATCCAGAGGGATGATTTAAGGATATATTAGTTTAATAATTGTTATTTCTTCAAGGTTTAGAAATAATATAGGGTTTAGTTTAGAAGAGATATTTGTTAATTAACTACACCTGTTTAAGCGATTAATAATTAGTTTGTGTAATATATATTATTATCAGAAAATTTTATCGATTAACGAAACAAATAGATGGCCGAAAATTATATCTCCAGTATTGCCGATCGTATAATGATATAAAGAAACATGCATACGAATCGATTAAAAATCCACTTTATCCACGTTTCTCTTTTCCCTTATTTGCATCTTCCGTCCGTTTCCACTTTTCAATTTAACGTTAAAAAAAAATCACATAATAAGGTAAGTGAAAAAAGAATTCGGGAAAAACTGTACACCCAATAAAACACGAATGCACCCTCGTGTATCAAATATACCGAGATATAAAATTCGTATCCTAAACACTTTCGTTAAAAGAAAAGAGGAACGACTCTCGTGTTTGAACAATAGGATAAAGAAAAAAAAAAAAAAAAAAAAGAAGAAGAAGAACACTGATACAATCGTCCATCGAAACGTATCGATGATCAAATTCCTCGAGGCAGGAAGGTGGAAACGAAATCGTATCTCGGTGCGTGTATAGAAGGAAAATATAATGATGCAAAAGTGTCGTTTTTTTTTTCTTTTTTCTTTTTTTTTTTTAACGACGAAGATAGTCACGTTCTAAATCGTGGGAGCAGAAAGACCGACCGAACGGGTTACACGGGTAAGAAAATCCCTCCTCGATTCCGTCTCTTCCTTGACAAATTAATCGTTTAATTTTAATCTCTCGGGTGTCCCAGGAATTTTGAACGCGAGAAAAAAAAAAAACTTATTATATATCCCCCGATATCGGTTCCAGCCGTGAATCGACACGCCAAGTTTAATCGACTTCTCGAGGGCACATCTCTGGCGCGACTGACGATGAAGCCGGGCATCGCTACCGAGTAAACGATGCCAGAGCCCCGGGGAGACCTTCTTTTTTTCCAGAACAACCTACCAACGGACTTTGTATCGCACGGTGGTCGCCTCGTGTCTAATAAATCTCTTCTATCTCTGTCATACGCGCGTGCACGGATCGAATTTTGGGTAACCGTGTCGCGCGATTGTGCGAGGGAGGATACAGGTAACGAGAAAGCTCCGATTCCAAGGCATGGAACGCTAGAGTGTGGAACGAAAGTGATTCTTATCTTATTTTTTCTAGTTTTCTTTTTTTTTTTTTTTTTTTTTCTAATTTTCCGACCGACAAATTCTTTGGAAAGGGTGAGAAGAATTTTTTCGCGATAGAATCGCGTACGCGATGGATCTGGATAAATTTACGGAAGCGTGTTTTGGTAAGTAAATAAAAGTTTCGAATTTTTTGGAAAAAAATTCCAATTGGAATTTTGCATCAATAGGGAAATTTAAATCGTTTCGTTCGAATCTTTTTGAAAAAATAATTATTGGTATGTTGACTGTGACTTGACAATTGAGAGTTGCGTAGAATATGTTGATGTATTATTTTTTATTTAGAAAATAATTTTTGCAACTTTTATAACTTTTTCAGATCGGCAATGTACAATGTAAATGGTTTGTAACATGAGAGATGTGATTGGTTTTTGGCAGTATGAACGTTAATAAATTCAAACTTAATGAGACGTAGAGAATCTGGGAATAAATCCGTATTTTTAGATTGGACCAACATTTACACGTTTCTAATCCAATAAATCCGTTCCCCGTATCTTTGTTAAAGGCATACCCCCCCATCGCGCTTTCACCGTATATTCAAATTGTAAGATATATTACGTGAAATCTAACTTGATCACCCAGGATTCCAAATCTAAGCGATCACTCGATACAAATTCGAAGAATCTTTGGAAAAAATCCATGGAATCCTAATAACTTCGAATCTCTGCATAAATTTCTCGTTAACCTCCTTGAACCCCGATATATTTATATTCCAAATCTATTCCTCCAATCTAAGCTTCGTTACATGATTATCGCCATTTAAGCCTGTTCAAATCAAAATCGGCTACGAGGGATTAATATTATTATATTCGTAGGGTTCAACAGGTTGCTCGTATTTCCCTCCTTACAACATATACATATATATATATATATATCGTCATTACTTTGATAGATGAACGCATACACTTGGTTATCCGATACACTTACGTCGGTTCACCACAATTTAAACACGACTTAGACACGTCTGTTGACCGTCCGTTTTAATAATTTCGAAACGGCTCGATCGAATTTAATTTACCCTGCTGCATCGTAATTACATAATCGGCCGTACATAACGAATAAAGGAAAGAATCGGGACGAGTTCTCATCGAGATAGATAGGGGAGTGGTATTTGGCGCATCCTAGACACCGTTCTCTGCCTCGCGCAGGAAGTGGTCCCGAGCGAAGGGGGATAGATATATATATATATATATGTCGTGTAATACGTTTAAACGCGTGCCAAGGGTAACACGAGAAATCGGGACTCTTGATTAATTGGAAACAAGCGTGATACGATGAATTTACGCGACGGTCACCGTTATTCATTGCGCGTCTAAATTGGTTAAAATCGTTCCTCTCAAGATATCGATGAACGTGCGCACCGAGAGAATTAATTGGCGGACTTAATACGCTCCCGATTAACAATGTCAACACCTCGATCTAGCATATGTACCTCGGCGCAACTATGTTACGAGAGCCATTTTATTTACCGGCACCATATTTTATTACACCCGATGGTGCGCGGATTCGATGATCGAACGGATTAATTTCTTAAAGTCGAGATTGATATCGAGATAATTAAATTCGAGATTCGTGTATTTGTGATTTATATTTAACTTTTCCCCGATATTATTTTTATCGCCTTCGCTATTTTTTGAAAAGGCGAGATTTTCTCGTTGGCAGAGATAAAACTTGATGTTAAAATAATTAAATTCACATTTTCTTTTTTTTTCTTTTTTTATACTTTTCTCGATGTTATTTCTATTCCTATAATATTTCTTTCCTTCGATTTATTTGCCTCTCGTGTCACTTTCGTGCCACCATCGATGTTATTTTGATAATCGTCAAGGCGATTACAAAATACAATTAGGCGAAGATCAAAGATAATGGAGAGAAGCAACCTCTGAAGATTTCCATCGTTCTAGTTAGTAATTTTGAAACTCGGGCTTCGATTTTTGGGCCAGTGACGAATCCGCACATCCGGAGCCACTTAATCATCCAGTATTAATATCACCGCCTCGCTTCCGACACAGCCGTCGACATACCTTTCTCTCTGTCTCTCTCTCTCTCTCTCTCTCTCTTCCTCGCTTTCATTTTTCTCTCTTCTCCCCTTCGATATATTTCTATCCGTCCATCTTTCCAACTATACTTTTTCGTGAAAAAGCACGCGAATATAGAGATGTAGAAAGAATAGTTGCTAGGATTGAAGCTAAGCGTAAAATATGACATACGTAGTGCCACGAGGCAAGATGAATAATGCTAACACTTGTCGCTTTATCATTTTGTTTAACATTCGTTGAAGAAGAATATTGTAAATCCGTAATAAATTATGAGCAAAGTGTGTGGAAAAAAAATATATTACATTTCTAATTTAATTTTGTACGCAACTCGTAAAATGAGTTATAATCGATCCACAATCGAGTTACAAAAGTCGATTTGTTATTTTACAATTTAATTAAAATTTTATCCGGTATTATCGTTGTGAGATTTAATAAAAAGTGAAAAATTCATTTGCAAATGTTATTTCCAATTTCTTTTTATACGATAAATTTTATTTTATCCTCTTTCCTCTCCTGCATCAACGTTTCCTTTTCGTGAAAAATATTTTGAAAAACATAATAATAATGTGGAAATCTGGTGTTTGGAATTCGTTATACGTTGCCAAGAAACCTAAATTATTTACTATCAAACTCGTAAAAATCGCACGATTATTTAAAGACACTTATTGTTTCAAAAAATCGGATGAAAATTATCCTTGAACATTTTCCAATGATGGCTCAACTTAACGATTTAACGAGAAACAATAGACTTGTTAAAAGGATTCGTTTATTATACATTACATTAACACTTACACGTTACGGTTCCCTCCAGCAACGGCAAAAGGATGTTGTTCAACCGGACTACGTCGAAATTCTTCTTCGATACGATCGAACTTTCTTGGATAGTGGAAGAGTGTTGCTCTACTATGCGTTGCTCCTGCTTCTGTCTAGTCCTCCTCGCTCTCTGGGTTTTATGCGTGCTATGCTCTCGATATTCCTCTGAGGCCTGGAACATTGTTTCAAAAACAAATTATAATATCCACGTCGCATATAGCTCGTCCGTGGAAAAGAAGACGAGGTCAGTTTATATATCTATATTTTCCCTTCTGTTTGCGCATCTCTTAAGTTTATTTTTCGCTTAGACAGATTTTCACAAAATTAAATCTATTGGCTCGATCGCGGGACCAAGAACAAATTCAAACGATTCGAAATTTTCAAGATTATGGAGAATATAATTCGAAGCTTAGAACTCTTCAAAGTCTTGATTTTGTATATAGATATAAAATAGAAATCTTTCTCACTCTGAATGGAATAATCTTTCGATCTTTTTCAAATTCTAAATTCCCTTTCTTAACTACGAAGCCTGTCAACTCTCTGACAATTTTATTTTTCTCTAAGACTTTAGAGGGAGGAATAATCATAGTGCAAAGGATTCGAATGCAACTCTTCTTCCTATATAAGAGAATTTGAAAAAGTAACGAGTGAATTAAATAAGGGAAAGAGATCATTCCGATATCTTTGTGAAGTAATGGAAATGTAACTTAAAAAAATTAATCCTCCTAAAAAGGACTTTGCAACCCCCTTTGTGTCTCGTCCATTTACGTGCTTGCTTTTTTCGAAGAAATTGAATATGAATGTTGATTAATATAATTGAGACATAAATGATAAAATTACAGAGGAATTTCTGAAATCAAGCGATAATACGCGTTACAGTTCATTACGATAGAATTTATGTATTTTAAGACTGGTCCCAAGCCAAACCAAAGACTAGGTGTAAAGAATTTATTATTATGTAATCATGACAAAATTATTGCAAAATATATATCACGTGAAAAATTCGTTATAAGATATCTTGTAAACACACCTGCTAAATCGCTTTTCCACCTGTTTTGTCATTGAATCCCATATATTTTTCATTTAATTCATATAAATTTCAATAATATCTTATTGATCGGTAAAAAGCAACGATTTCTCAAAGGATATTTCGTTAATCGGTATTGATTCCTTCGCGATTCTTTTCATTTTATCCATTAGCGAAAATAAAAGAATATTTGATTGATTCGAAGAAGCTTAAATTTAAATAAAAATAATTACAAAACGAATTACATATTCTTCCTTTTGATCCTTCTTTGATCGTTCTTTCGTCGCCATTATTTTCTCGATTCTAGATTTCGATATCAAGATTGACACATTTATTAAAAAAAATAAATGTAACGATAAAGTTTACTTTGCAAATCGTTTTGAAAATCGATTAATAAAAATAAAAAGTGAAATTTCAGGTATAAGAATTTTTGCGATACTCGTAAGTAGCACTGAATTGATAAGCAGATCTGAACACTGATTCGAAATGACATTGTATAAAATATACGTACACGTGTACGTATATGTATATATATTAAACAATAGTATTAAAAATAACATTCCAAAAAGAAAGATAATTTCAAATAATCTTCGTATTTCATTTCGATTTCAATTAAGATTTTCCCACGTATGTTTTAAAAGATACTTGAAATCAGGACACTCGACACTATGGTTAGTTAACCGTGTTAATTTCTAATTATTAATATTCCCTACAAAATTTCTCTTCTTCTTTTTTCCTTCCTTATATATTCACAATGGATCATCTCGATGATAAGTGCGTACCTTGATATGCGCGTTAAAGAGGTAATATAGTACAGCAGGAACCAGTCTGGACGGTGGTCGTCACGGAACTCGTGCTAACTGACGGTAATTTCGGGCACAATGCTGTGTATTCGATGTTACCATAATAGCCGGCTAGCCCCCACTCAACCACGTTATAAAAAGATAATAGATATTAATTGCACAATAGTAGACAAGACAATACACCATAATCGAGAAAATTTTTCGAATATTCTTCGCTCTCACTGTTAACAACTCGTAACTTTCAGTTCACTTCTCTTCAACTCGATCAACGGTGCGATCGATTATCCGTTATTTGTTTATCATAATAATAATACAAAAATTTGAATAACATATTTGTGTCAAATTAAGATAAAGTAAATTTCAGAAGAAAATTTTTCTTATCAATTAATAAAGTGGTGACAAGTAATTCCAATATAGTTTCATATAGTTTCATATAGAATATGAAATGTTAATTTCAGTTAAATAGTTAAGTAAGAAGTAGCTGGAACAATTTGTCTCGTTTTGTAATTGAATTTGAAGATTTATTTATTATTTTCGAAATAATATTTCACAGCATTAGCTAATACAAAGGGGGGGAAAGTACACGAGAGACGCATTCAAGTTGGAATAATATCAAGAGTATCACTGTGGAATTTTGTAGATTTCTCTTCTCGAAACGATTATTACAATTAATCTCCTTGAAATTTATAGAAATTCCCCTTTAATACGAAGAGAAACTTTTCTCGTGTTCGAAAGTAATAACTTAGAAAACAGGCCGACAAATGGATTTAATCTAAACTATCACTTGTATTAATTCAATATTCCTCTACCTATTCCAAACGTTTCTGTTTATAAATTTGAGAAAGCCTGACTTGTACTCAAAATAGTTTAAGAGATCGCCATCATACCAGATGCGTATTGAATTTCAAACTAGATCACTAAGAGATTCACATAAAATTCTTCCTTCCGCTTATACTCCTCCGTAGGAATATCATAATCTTTCACTAGATTATTATTATAATTCGATTAATTCATAATTTCCTGTTGCTCATCCTCGTGTCATTCCGCTGTGAGAATACTTTATTTATACCTGATATTTTGTCCCTCCATTTTTATCCTTACTTCAATCAATAGATTGACATTGAATCAATGAAACATCGAATAAATATAAATTAATTTGTGTCGAGTATTTGTTTTTTAATTTATTAAGTTTGAAAAATTTATGCTTTTAGAAGAATGCAAGTACATTATATTTTATATCTCGTTTGAGGAAATTTTATAGCTTGGAAAAAAATTAAAATACTACGTTAAAAATCATTTGAAAAATTTTTAATTTTTAATTTAAATTCTTTTAAATTCTTAAAAGATTCTTTTTTTTAACATTTTCATTAGAAACTTTCTATCTCACAACTGATTTATACTAAATTTCTGTAATCTATAAGAAATTATATGAAAAATGAAGTAATTAATACTTTCCTGAATTATATCCGATTTTTCATGAAATTTATTTTTTGGCACATCCTTTATCGAATTGACGACGATGATTTAAATACAAAAACATATAAATGTCACCAATATAAATGTTTGGACGTTTGTCAGAACGAGCTGCTAAGGTAAATTCGTTAATTATCTCGAAATACGTATAAAAAGTGAAAGAGCAATTGTTTTCGTTTAAAACTACGTAATATATCAATTCCCTCTCTCGTAAACGTGTTTCAATCATTTTGCTTTTATCGTTCAATTATATAAAGCCATATTCTTAAATGTATTTTAATAAATTTACGTAAGAAAAAAAATAAAGAGAAGAAAAAGAAGAATTAAAAACGATCGTAAGAGATGCTTTTTGGAACGTATTTGAGGCATATAGCAGAAGTTGATAGAGTGGTATCATCGTAGCGATGCAGAAGTGCACTACTTCGAATGGAGGCCAGATTTAGATTAGTTTACAAATAAAATTTGTATAAATCCAGTCCAGTTTCTCGCTGAAGAATAAAATTCGACTTCTCGAAAGATTTTAAATAATTTTAAATTTTTAAACGAGTCCAAGTCGTTCAATATTTTTACAAAATCAAATCAAAACAAACGTCTAATATAAATTTATATAATTTATACAAGATATCACCGTAATTGAAGTTGTATATACTTCATCACGAATATCAAATAAATTGTTCAAACGTGATAAACGTGATTGTTTTAAAATATTAAATCACTCGATAAATACTCGATTGAACTTTTTTTTTTTTTTTCTACGTGTCAATGGATACTTACTTAAATTTTCTTCGTTAAACTTGATATTTGAAACTGTTCGCGTGATTCTGTTGCAAAATAGACAGTGCTTAAATAAAACACTTGGACGGAACGTTAGAAACTTCACATGAGATGAAAGATACGAGTAATGTCAAAATGACAGACACTATTCCAATGAACCGTCGAAGTGAACTGTTTCACTGGAGACTAAACTAAAGGCGACAATATATCCTGCAGTATATCTTGTCTCTATAGTTAGATACCTGCCGCCCCACCCTTCACCAAGAAACTATATAGCTGTTTTATATAAAAAAAAAAAAAATTAATCACAGATAAACGTGACAAACAAGCTGCACTTTTTTTTCTCCCAATCAACTATATTCACTATGTTACTTTCTCGTATGTGTGAAAAATAAATGTACAATTTTTATCCCTTTAAAAAAGTTAAGACAATAATAATAATTTTTTAACATACAAATTTTATTCGCGAGATATACCTCGCACTTGTTCGTTCTATCGTGTGCTCGTATATTTTCCAATAATCGTTTCGAATCGTTTTAAAACTTCACCACTTTCACTGATTCTAGATTCAACCGAAGAAACGATAAAATTAAATTATATATCAGTTACAAAGTAAATTTCAAAGCATTCTAAAGATAAATCGCGCAAACATAATCTATGCTCTATTCTAAAATCGTGAGATAGTTTTTCGAATCCGTTCGATCTTCGAGAAAGAGAAAGAAAAAGAATCTGTAAAAATTGGAAATTGATAGAAATGAAATAATAAAGAAATGGTGACTTACTGTGAATGTATAAAATCCTTCCGGTACCGGTTGACCACCAAATTTAATACTGAGAGTGTAGTCACCAGCATCCGCCACAGTGTAATAAATGTTCACTGTGCCATCTCCATTGTCCTCGATGTCGATATCCACTACCTCGCTAGAAGACAGAAGAGATATTAAAATTGATGAAAATTGAAAAATTGATCGCTCTTTTTGTCGCCTCAAGTATCTCTGTTTCTTCCAAAAATTGTTGAAACAATTTAATAGGATTTTGAAATAATATTTAACAAATTTCTTCTTTATTCCCTTCTATATTTCTTCTTCTTATTTCACTGAACATTTCACTGAAATATCTTGGGGCTTCTTTTATTTTAAAAATTTCACCATGACCTCGATATTTATTTTTGAAACGTAAATTTATCGATGTTGAGTCTTTTGATACGATTTCTTAACTATGCCTCTGGATCCGTTGGTATGTAAGCTATATTTATAGAAATCGCAGAACGTTTCATCTGACGCCTCGTAAAACGACAATAATAAAATGATCTTTCATGGATTTTGTTTTATATTCCACTATTCCTATTTTAAATAAAAATAAAATTCCTATTTAAATTCTCTATGCATAGAAAATATATGTATCTTTTTATAATATATATTTAAAATATGAAATAAGATTTCAATTAATATTTTTTTTAAATTTTTGTACAATCAATTATCATATTTTATAACACCGTGAAGAAAAATTAAATCCGAATATTTATAATTACGAACAATTATAAATATAATAATAACAGATTGTTCGAATTGTAATGTTTGATTTTTCAAAAAAATGCAAATATCAATTTGTATCATAAATTTGATTGGTTTTTCCTATTCGTATGGCTGACCATTAAAGACACAATCTCCTGACATCTTAAGTACGGATACAAAGGTATTCTAGATATATTCGTAAATAAAATATTTAAAATTGTATTAAAATTAATATTAAACGATTTTAAAACAAAAAAATAATTATTTAAACAATTTAATATAAAAAAATTCACAAAAAAATATAAAATATTCATTTATAAGGGACTCAAAATTCTTTATAGAATTAATTTGAATACATAATATTATACTCAATAATTTATATATATATATATA